GGCTCCCTTTGGTAAGGGGTAAAGTTTTGCCTTTTGGAGTTTGGGGAGATGGAGTTTCCTTTGGCCTGACAGTGGTTAGCGCCTTCTTCTTGTCCTTCAGATGGTTGAATATCTGAATTTATTTATTTTATTGTTTTATGTGTATGGGTGTTTTTGGCTTGTTTGCATGTCTGTGTATCACATATGTGCAGTGTCCGAAGAGGACAGAAGAGGGCATTGGGTACCCTGGAACTGGAGTTACAGGTTGCTGTGAGCCATCACATGGGTATTGGGAATCCAACCTGGTTCCTCTGCAAGAGCAGTCAGTTATCTTAATGGCGGAAGCATCTCTCCAGCCTTGAAGATTTGAGTTTAAAGTCACACAGACCCTCCTGTCTGCAGGGCTTTCTCTCAACCCAAGACCTCACCTACCGTGTTACTTGCTCTCCATTTCTCAAACATGGCTTTTCACGTGTGTGATGTGTATGTAGTGGGTCCTGGGAGTTGACCCTAGGTCCTCCTTCAAGCTTAGCGAGCGCTCTGCCACTGACCTCTATCCCAGCCTTCTTTTACTTCGTACGCTGAGATAGACTGATTCATTTGCTCGAGCTGGCCTTCAGTTCACTCTGCAGCCCAGGCTAGACTGGAGGAAGTTCATCAGAACTTCCGCCTCACTTTCCCAAGCAGCTGGGATGACAGGCCGGAGACACCAGGCCCAGGTTGAGACATTGCTCTTAAGCAATTTAAGTTCATTCACACGTGTGTGGAGTGTTTGCACAGTTTCTGCATGGCTGAAGGACGACCTTCACCACCCAGAGGGCCCCCTCTGATGCACCAGAGTCAGGGGTCTTGATTTGGGGGTGCCATCCTTCCTGATCCTGGTCTTTATCAACAGAACCCGTGACCTCAAAGCCCAGGCCAGGACTTAGCCTCTCCCTCCCAGGAAACTGCTTCTCTACCTCAGCAAAGTTTCCTTCGTCTTTGTCCTCACTGGTCCCAAGACAATGGACCTGGGAGCTGATGGCCCGGAGTGACTTGAGTGGCCCTTGAGTTCCCAGGGTTCTGGTTCTCGGGATTAAGCTCCACTGCACTCGAATACCCCCACCTCTGCAACCATCTCAAGCACATTCTTGACAGAGGGAGTCAGCGAGGTCAGAGCCAGAGGGAAAATGGAAATGTAGAAGCTGAGGCCCAGCAGGAGAGGGGAGCTAGCACACAGTTGCCTCTGGGGATGGAGGAGCAGCCATAAGCCGAGCAATAAGGGTGCCTCCAAGAGCGTGTGAAAGCTGGCAAGGGACTGATTCCCCCACTGAAGCGCTAGAAGGGCCGGGCAGCATGCTTCTTTTCAGTCTGGACTTCAAGGTTCCACTGGTGGCTTTCCCACTTCATGGTGGTGCCGGGCACCCACACTGCATCCTGCTTACTCAACAGTCTATTATAGCACAGGCTTTGTAGTGGATGACGATGCTCAGCTGTGGCTGACGTGGTCTCAGTTTCTTTAAAGTGGTCTAGCTGATTCTTTTCCCATCACCACGACAAATCCGTGACAGAAGCGTTTAAGAGAGGAAAGGCCAGGTGGTGGTGGTGCACACCTTTAATCCCAGCACTCAGGAGGCAGAGGTAGGCATATCTCTGAGAGATCGAGGCTAGCCTGGTCTACAAATAGAGTTCTAGGACAGCCAGGGCTACACAGAGAAACCCTGTCTTGAAAAATTTAAAAAAAAAAAAAAAAAAAAGGAAGGCTTAGCCCAGGCTTTCAGCCCACCTTTGGCAGAGTTCATAGCAACAGGAGAATGTCTGAGTCCTCTCTTTCTTGGCCAATCAGGAAGCAGAGAGCTGGGACAGAAAGCAGAGGCTATTTCAGCCTTCAAGCGTCCCCCACCCCCACCCCGGTGACACACTTCTGCCAGCTCAGCCTCACATCCCAAGGGTTACATGACTCCCGAAACAGCACCACCGGCTAGGGACCAAGTGTTGGAACCCACCATGAGCCTTTAGGGCGCGTTTCACCTTAGCCGGGGACAGGCAGGCTGGGCGTGGCCTGTGACAAACACTCAGTTATGTGGTGTAGATACTTTTGTTGCCATGAACTGGATTAATTAGAGGGAGGATGGCAGGTCTTACGGTAAGCGCCTTCTGTTGATTGATTATTTCCTCAATTATCCAGCAAATATGTATTAGTGCCTGCCGTGATGAGATACTGGAAATGTAGATGGGTTTCAGAGGAATTCAATTAAAGGGAAATAATACCCAAGGCAGTTTCTACTAAGTTCCGTCAGGATTCTCTTAGGACAATCTGCAAACTTCAGCTTTCTGCATTTTGTCTTTGTCCCGACTAATCTGGTTCCCTGAGCAGCAACTTAAAGGTTTCTTAAACCAGTCTGTTTTGTTTTAAATAGATTTACTCCAGAACTAGTCTCAGGGCTGGAGAGATGGCTCAGCGGTTAAGAGCACTTGTGACTCTTTGGTTTGGTCCCCAGCACCGGTGTTGATCAGCTCACCACTGCCTGCGACTCCAGCTCCAGGGGACGTGATGCTCTTCTGGCTTCTGTGGGCAACTACACTCCCATCACATCCATACACAGAGTTAAAAATAAGCTTATTTATTTAATTTTATGTTTTCTCCTTTTTTAATAAATATTTTTATTTTATAATTAATTCAATTTTACATATCAGCCACGGATTCCCCTGTCTTCCCTCCTCCCACCCCCATTCCCACCTCCTCCAAGGTCTCCCCTGGGGATTCAGCCCAGCCTGGTAGATTCAGTTGAGGCAGGTCCAGTCCCTTCCTCCCTGCACCAAGGCTGAGCAAAGTATTTCAGCATAGGCCCTAAGTTCCAAAAGGCTGGCTCATGCACCAAGGACAGGTCTGGGTCCCACTGCCTGGGGGCCTCCTAAACAGTTCAGGCTCATCAACTGTCTCATTTATCCAGAGGGTCCAGTTCCATGGGGGCTCCTCAGCTATTGGTTCACAGTTCATGTGTTTCTGCTAGTTTGGCTATTTGGGGGGAAAGTGAGCTTAGGGGAGCAGGAGGTCCCAGCTGGATCAGGAACAGAGTGGGAGAACAAGGAAAGAGACACCGTGATAAATGAAGACCCCAATGGGAATAGGAAGAAGCAGAGTGCTAGAGATGTCCCCAGAAATCCACAAAGATACCTCCACTATAGACTACTGGCAATGGTTGAGAGAATGTCTGAGCTGACCTGCTCTGGTGATCGGATGGCCAAACACCCTAACTGTCATGATAGAACTCTCATCCAGTGACTGGTGGAAGCAGAAGCAGAGATCCACGGCCAAACCCCAGGTGGAGCTCCAGGAGTCCAACCGGTGAGAGAGAGGAGGGATTATATGAGCAAGAGATATGGACACCATGATTGGAAAAAGCACAGGAACAAATATTTATTAATTTTTTTGAGATAAGCCCTCACTATATATCTTTGGTGTCCTGGAACTTGCTAGGTAGAGTAGGCCGGCCTTGAACTCACAGAGATGTACCTGCCAGAGTACTGGGATTAAAGCTATGTGCCACCATACATAACAAAAGATAAAACACATATTTAAAAAAGGAATTTGGCTTGGCAGTAGTGGCACACACCTTTAATCCCAGCATTCAGGAGGTGGAGGATGGCAGATCTCTGTGAGTTTGAGGCCAGCCTGGTCTACAGAGTGAGTTTCAAGACAGCCAGAGCTGTTACACAGAAAAACCTTGTCTTGGAAAAAAAAAAAACAAAAGCAAAACAAAAAACACCTCCCTCCTCCCCCAAAAAAGCAGTTTGATGTGATTATGGTAGATGAAAAATTGGTCAGAGTGTGCCAATCTTTTGTGGCTTTGGCAAATACCTTAGAGGAACAGGTTAGGCCGAAAGAGTCTCAGTTCATGGTGGGCTGACTCCATGGCTTACAGGCTCCTGGCAAAGGAAAGTCCTCCCAGCAGGCAGGGTGTGGTGTGGGGAAGTGAAGTTACCACCTCACGGCAGTTGGAGGAGCCGGTCAGGGGGCTGCGCAGGAGCTCGCTCACAAGAACACACTCCCCCACAACCTGCTTCCTCGGTGAGAGTCCCACCTCCCAGCCATGCCAGCAGACTACAAGGGCGCCGAAGACTGGACCCACAGATGTTCTCAGAGCCTCAAGATGCAGTCCCCTCTCAGTGACGGGAAAGTCAGTTTGGGGGACACAGGGTCAAGCCAGCCCCCTGGGTATAAGCAAAGCAGTGGAAGCAGAGTCAGACCTGAGATTCCTCAGTCATCAAAGGCAGTGCGGCCACTTCCTTTGAATGGAAGGAAGTACACCCCTCTGGAGTCGGGAGATACGCTCCCATGCTGGCTCACCCATGCTGGTTCACTGAGCTAGACGCCGGCAGAATTGTTTGTTTTTTGATCTGTCCCTGGTGCCATTGTGTGCTTCCGTCTTAGTCAATACTGTCCCATGGCTGTGAAGAGACAACATGTCCACAGCAACCTTTGTAAAGGAAAGTATTTAATCGGGGATTTGCTCACAGTTTCAGAGGTTTAGTCCATTATCACGGCAGGAGTAGAGAGGCTTGTCCCTGGAGCATTACCTGAGAGAGCAGGGAGGGAGAGACAGACAGAGACAGAGACAGAGAGAGACAGAGAGAGACTAGGCTTGGCACGGGCTGTTGAAACTTTAAAGGCCGCCTCCACTGACCCACCTCCTCCAACAAGGCCACACCTCAGTTCCGCTAACTGGGACGACATTCAAACACAGGAGCCCATGGGGGCCATTCTCCTTCTAATCAGCACACAGTCCAGAGTCGCACCTGATCCCTGTAGATAGTTAAGGGTTGTCCTTGTAAGTTTTGTTGTCTCCTTGACGTACCTGCGAAGACGGAACCTTCACTGAAGAATTGCTTCCGTCAGATTGGCCTGTGGCCCCCTCTGTGAGGTATTTTCTCAGTGGCTGGTTGGTGTAGGAGGACTCAGCCCACTGTGGGCAGTACCATCCCCGGGCAGGTAGCTGAGCAAGCGAGTTCCTCATCTCTGTTTCAATTCCTGCCTCCAGGTTCCTGCCTTGGCTTCCCCTCAAGAATGAACTGTGACCTGTAAGACGAAGTGAACTCTTTTTCTGTCGCCTAAGTCGCTTTTGGTCGCGGTGTTTATCACGGCAACAGAAAGCCAAGTGGAACAAACTGGGATGGTGATCTTCTGGAGAAAACCTTCATGTTTAAAAGCTCCTTCAGACCCGTCAGTGAAACGCCGAGTCCACAGAGAGGTCAGACATAAATAATGGGATTATTCTCCTCCATCACCCCCAGCAGCTCATCGTACTTACTGGAAAGTTCATTTGAAATGTAGTGTGGGCTTCTGCTTTGCAATTTTCCCTCTTTATTAACTTCTTTGTCAAAATCCCCAGGATACTTCATTGTGGCTCTCAGAACCAATCATGCTCTTCAATGCTAATTCACTCTGCGCTGAATTCTTATTTATTGAACTTTCGTAGGCTGTAGACTTCCTGAAAAAGCAGTGTTACTAACTCAACTTGACTAGATCCGAAAATATAGAAACAAGACACTGTGTGCACTGTGTGTGTGTGTGTGACAGAGGGTCACCTCAGCTGTCATTCCTCAGGAGCCATTCCTCTTGGGTTTGGGGACAGAGTCTCTTGCTGTCTGTAACACATTATTAGATTAGCTCACTGGCTGGTCAGTGAGCCCACGGTTCTGCCTGTTTCTGCCTCCCCAGCACAACTATGGGTTTCTTCTCCTTTTTAAAAATTAAGATATTTATTTATTTATTTTTATTTATTTATTTAGTGTGTGCCACATGTGTGCAGATGCCCTCAGTGGTCCAATCCCCAGGAGCTGGAGTTATAGGTGGCTATGAGCTGCCAATTGTGGGAGCTGGGACCTGAACTAGGGTCCTTGGTCTACAAGAGCAACAGGCACTCTTAACTGCCAAGCCACCTCTCCAGCCCCCCGGGGCTCCTTTTTAGGTGGGTCCTTGGGATTGAACTGAGGTCCTCGTGCTTGCCTGGCAAGCCTGTTACTGACTGAGCGCCGTCTCCTCAGCCCTAAACTCTTTTTTCCTGTTCCAGACATTCTTTATGCTGAAGTTTCATGCAAAATGCATAGCAAGACTGCAACACTTTTCAGATCGTTGACAAAAAGCTCATCCTCCCACCCATGTCCAACGCACATACGATGTGGGAAATGCATGTATAACGAAGTGCCCTGGAATAAACCTGAGCCCGGATTGCTCAGGTTCTGGGAGGATATCAGCCTTGTATGGCTTTGTGATCGGCAGATGAGGCTGTGGTAGGAGGCAAGAGCTGTTGAGAGGAACCCACCCACACCCTCGGTGCCAGCGTCCAGGAAGAGGGCTTGCAATGAGGCAGAGCTGGGTCCAGGCTGGAGACAAAGGATTGAGGGGCCAGTGTGACCCAAACGGCAAGGTTCTCTCCTGTGTGGAGCATCAGGCAAGCTGTGAAAGAGAGGAGAGAACTACAAATCACTGATAGGAGTTCACAATCTGACTATGTAAAGACCTCCCAGCATTCCCTGCAACAAGATGTGACTAAAAATCAGCAGAGAGGGGCTGAAGAGCTGACTCAGTGGTTAAGAGCACACATTGCTCTTGAAGAGGATCCAAGTTCGGTTCCCAGGATCCACATCAGTCAGTTTACCATTGCCTGTAACTGCAACTCCGGAGCATTCCAGGGAATCTGATGCTTACGGCTCCATGGGCACCTGAACTCGTGTGTGCACGCGCACGCGCGCACGCGCACACACACACACACACACACACACACACACACACACACACACAAACATGCACAAGAAAATCTTATTAAAATAATAGTGTAAAAATCTCAGCAAATGAGTGCTGTAGAGATAGCTCAGCTAGGCCCTGAGTTTATCTCCAGCAGGGGCAGGAACACCCACCAGTGTCTTCTAGAAAACAAAAACAAAACAAAAAACAAAATGAAACAAAACCCATGAAAACAGTCTCCCTCCCTCTGGTCTCCTCTTCACGTGGAAACAGCGGACAGGCTTGCAAGCAGCCTGCACTCTGGCTGCATCCGTTATGTTCCTGCAGGCCGGGTGGGAGGCGCCTGCTTCTTGAGCTGAGAGGTGCATACTCATTGTGGACAGAATCTCTGTCTTCCATTCCCTCTCCTCAGCCTCCAGGGGCTTCCGGTCATCTGCTATGCAGACCTGGACAAGGCCTGGGGTTGGGGGGGGGTCTGTTTCTTTTCTCTTTGCTGTGACAAAACTACCCAATTCAAAAGCAACTTGAAGAAGAAAGGGTTTATTTGGGGCCCCAGTTGGAGGCCACTGTTGATCGCGATGGGAAAGCCAGGGCGGCAGAGCATGCGGCGGCGGCTGGTCACATTGCATCCACAACTGGGAAGCATAGAGAGGAAGGCAGGTGCTCGGCTGGCTTTTTCCTTCTGATTCAGCCCAGGACTCCAGTGTATGGGATGGTGCCAGTCACATGCAGGGTCGCTCTTCTCTCCTCCACGAATCTCTCTGGAAATTCCCTCACAGACACCCCCAGAGGTGTGTTTCCACTCTAAACCTTGTCAAGTAGACAATGGAGATTACCATCACCGCCTTGCAGGACCCAGAGGGCCATAGACTGGGGAGTGGGGGTCCAGACTGCCCCTGGGGCCAGTTTCTGTCTCTGGTCTTGGGCAGGTTACGGGGTTTGTTGAGCCTTGGTTTCCTGTATGTCAAATGGAAGAGTCTTCAAGTGGGGTGGAGTCAACTAAGATATCCAACTCTGGGCAGGGCAGTGGGGGCCTTTCCAGAAAGGATTTACTCATGAGGGGGAAAGACCTTCCTCACAGTAGGTGGCACCTTCTGTGGGCCCAGAGACCTGAGGAGGACTGCTTGCCTGCCTTCCTGCCTAGCTGGAGAGTGTGTTCA